CTTGAGCCCAGGAGTTGGAGGTTGCTGTGAGCTGTGATGCCACAGCACTCTACCCAGGGGGACAGCTTGAGGCTCTGTCTCAAAAAAAAGAAAATACATTCATTTATATAGATAATTATGGAGGACCTACTCTGCCTAAGAACCATAGCAGTGGTAAAGAGCCATGAGGACCACACCCTGTAAGAGTTTACAGTCTAGGAGAACAGACAGCCAATGTGTACAGAGAGATAAAATAAGGTTGGAAATGAGAAGTACTATGAAAGAAGCATATTAGGAAAATGCCTTAGGAGTTCTGAGGGGAGAAAGACTGCTTCTAGCTTTAGTTATCAAGACAGTAAAAGAGAAAAGTAGATCCTAACTGATAAGATATTAGAGCAGAGCTGTTTTGACTGATTTTGTTCTAATGTTATATTTTAAGCCCTTACATACTCAAGGGCCACCTTGCCCACTCTTAACATTCCTCATATTCCACTGGCAGCACGTTTTCCATGTGGGTTCTCTCTGTCAATTAATTCATCAAAAGGCTTTTATTGTCAGGGCTCTCAACCTGGGCTTTACCTGTAAGACTGGAAATACTTACCCAGGGCTGTAAGGTTCCTCTGATCCCAGATATGCCACATCACTTTTCAAGACGTCTCCTCCTTCCTATTTCTTTTTTTTTTTTGAGACAGAGCCTCAAGCTGTCCCCCTGGGTAGAGTGCCCATGGCCTCACAGCTCACAGCAACCTCCAACTCCTGGGCTCAAGCACGTCTCTTGCCTCAGCCTCCCAAGTAGCTGGGACCACAGGCGCCCACCACAATGCCCGGCTGTTTTTTGGTTGTAGTTGTCACTGTTGTTTGGCAGGCCCGGGCTGGATTCGAACCCGCCACCTTAGGTGTATGTGGCTGGCGCCTTAGCCACTTGAGCCACAGGTGCCGAGCCCGCTCCTATTTCTAAAACCAGTAGTATTGATCTGATCTTCGTGTTCTGAACATTTGTTTTAGTTTGTATGTACAAGAAGTGTTAAAGGTCTGCTAGTGAATGACTTCTGTTTCTCTTTGATTAAACAACTTATTTAGGTGTGATCATGATGGCTGTGGAAAAGCATTTGCAGCAAGCCACCACCTTAAAACTCATGTCCGTACCCATACTGGTGAGTTCAGGCCAATTTTTATTTTTTATTTTAATCTTCATCAAGCCTGTAAAACTATCAGTGTTTTGGTAGAGACCTGTAGAGCTAGGTGGAGAGAGTGAGCCTAATCAGCTTACCCTTCACCTGTAATGTTTGAGTTTCTTTCTGAGGTGAAAAGATCTAAAGGTTGGACTCAAGAATCTAGCCTTAGGAAATGAAAGGAATACAGAGATACTCTAAAAAAAGAACTTGGAAGAAAACTAATCTTCTCTTTATAAACTTCCCAGGTTAGGCCATTCCCAGTTCTTTGCTCTGCATTAAGTTTTGGGAGTGAAATAATTAACATGTAATGTATCCAACTTTTAATTACTATTACCTAAACTCTCTTAATAATATTTACTTTCCTCTGTTAGGGAAAGATAGTTTCTTAATCCAGTCTTGATGACTTTATGGTAAAATTAACACTACTTTGTCATTCCTGCAGGTGAAAGACCTTTCTTCTGTCCCAGTAATGGCTGTGAGAGAACTTTCAGCACTCAATATAGTCTCAAAAGTCACATGAAAGGTCACGACAACAAAGGACACTTATACAATGCACTTCCACAACACAATGGATCAGAGGTATGCAGTGCTTTTGTCTGTTGTTTTGGTCTAGGCACCACAGAACATCAAGAATTGTGTGTGTACTACAATAAAAAGTTAAAATGTCTTCTCTGTGTGCCTGTGAGAAGGCAGACATCAGGGATGAGATCTACGTCTTGACTTGCATATTCAACACCTACCCTACATCTCCACCCAGATACCGTCTACTCTTGTCAAACCGAACACGTCCAGACCTGTTAACTCCTACAGTCTTCCCAGTCTTATTAAATGCCAATCTAGTTTCCTAGTGGCAGAGGCCAAAAATCTTGTAGTCATTCTTGACTCTGTTTTTTGCCTATGTGCCAAGTCCACCAGCAAAGTCTATCAGTTCTCCCTTGAGACTTTACCTACAATCTGATCACTTCTTCTGATTACTTTGGTCAATCCAATATTATCTTTTTGCCTGATTGTTGCAATAGTCTGCTATGTAGACCTCTCAGAACCTTTTCCCCCCTTTCCTCCCTACTCTGGCTAATATGTGTAGTGTAGTCTTTCTAAAGCATAATGCAGATAGTGTCTGTCTTCTACTTGTAACTCTCCAATAGCTTCTTGTATCACTTAAAGTAAAAGTTAAAATCTTTGTAATGGTCCGCAGGGCCGCACCCTTTCTGGCCTGGTTACTCGTGTGACCTCATCTACTTCTCCTCCTCTTACTTCAGCCGTGTTGTGCTCTTTGTGGCTCCTTGAATGAGGGAAAGGCCACTTCCACCTCTGAGTCTTTGTACTTCCTGTACCTTGCTCCTGGAGCACTTTCCCTACATATGAGTACAGTCACACCGTCTTTCCTTCAGTCTCTGCTCAAATGCTACTTTTTTTTTCCTTTTTTTTGAGACAGAGTCTCACTTTATCACCCTTGGTAGAGTGCTATGATGTCACAGCTCACAGCAGCCTCAAACTCTTGGGCTTAAGCGATTCTCTTGCCTCAGCCTCCCAAGTAGCTGGGACTACAGGTACCCCCCACAACGCCCGGCTATTTCTAGAGACAGGGTCTTGCTCTAGCTCAGGCTGGTCTTGAACTCGTGAGCTCAGGCAATCCACCGGCCTCAGCTTTCCAGAGTACTAGAATTTCAGGCATGAGCCATCGTGCCTGACCTTCTCAAATGCTACTTATCTGAAAGTCCATCCCTAACCACCTTATAAGAGTGATTCACCCTCTTTTATTGGCATTCCTTATTCCCCTTACTCTCCATAGCACTTATCATTCTCTTGCATATTGTATGTTTATTTGGTTTTTGGCCTCTTGTTTCTTCACTAAAATGTAAGTTCTGTTGGGGCAGGGACTTTGTTTTGTTTGTGATTGTATCCCTGGGCCTGCAAAAGGCCAAACACAGAGCAGATGCTCGGTGAGTATTTGTTGAATGCATGCACAAGTGGGAGCATCTGATCCAGGCGAGGTAAGCAAAGCGACCAACCAAGGTGTATTGTGATTGGCATTCTAGGAATCCAGAATTCAAAGTTAGCCTGGACAACGGAGTTTGAATAGTAAGTTCTCAGTACTACCTTGGATAAGGAACCCTTGGATGTCCGTTTTGGAGATACAGTTGCATAATGGAAGAAACATTGACTTTTCAATCAAAAGCTAATCAGTGTGTGTAGGTGCACTGCATTCCCATGGTCTTAGCATCCGTTTTCTCAGATTAAAAAATGAATAGTAATTCATTATATCAATAGTAAGTGAGGTCATTTGAAGTCACTGTGTAAATATTGAGACCAATTATACAAATATTATTAATTTCGTATTATTATAGCTTTTGTTACTCCAGAGTCTGAGTCAAGAAATAATTTTAAAACTATTAACCAACTTTAAGAAATATAAAAGATTGGCTGGGTATGGTGGCTCATGCCTGTAATCCTAGCACTCTGGGAGGACGAGACAGGTGGATTGCCTGAGCTCAAGAGTTCGAGACCAGCCTGAGCCAGAGTGAGACCTCATCTCTAAAAAAATGCAATAATTTCTTAGCCCTTGCTTTGTGTAGCTTATATATAGGTCATAACAAAAGTTTTGAGATGCACAAAAGTCAAGAAATATAAAATCTGCATAGACAGGAGCAAATGAAGCCCTCCCAGCAATACCAATAAGCTGAGCAAGTTGAAACTTGCATGGACGAATAGGAATGGATGCTGTCAGCTGTGTTTCTTGGAAGTGAGATCACTTGGTCTGTTTCAGAACTTTCTTAGTGCCCTACATTCCTGTCCAGGTAACACATCTGGACATTTGGAACCTCCGAGACTTTGTAATCAGGTGTTTTATTGCCCGATAATGCTACTATAAATCTTCATTTTTGTTACTCAATTAGAATTTTTTCTTTTTCACAGGATACAAATCACTCACTTTGTCTGAGCGACTTGAGCCTTCTATCCACAGATTCTGAATTGCGAGAAAATTCTAATACAGTAAGTGTACCTGTTAATAGAAAATAGGTGCAAGAATTGAGGACTACCTTTGGTGGGAAAATTGAGGCTGGCCAGTCTTTGAAGTCTTCTAGATTTAGTTGTGTTTAATTATTACCATTCGGGATTTTTTTCTTAACTTCTCCTGATAAGAGTTTTATTAGGAGAGGTTGTTCTCTTGATGCCTAAGGCCTTTTGACCCAGGTCATTTGGTAACCTGAACCCAGAAAATATTGTTCTTTTATTCATTTAGCAAATATTTCAGATACTATGCTGGTGCTGAGCTTATAGTGGTGGAAAAGTAAGTATGGTTTGTACTTGAGGAGCTTAAAGTCTCGCACTATAAGATGTAGACAGAATTCTAGTTCCTGGACTTTCTCAAACCCTCTGTCTAACCTGGCTTAGTCTTTTCCCTTCTTCTAACTCACCTAATGGGAGTTTTGAAGGGACAGAGACTCACTTTGTCTCCCTTGGTAGAGTGTCATGACATCATAGCTCACAGCAACTTCAAACTCTTGGACTTAAGGGATTCTCTTACTTCAGCCTCCGGAGTAGCTGGGACTACAGGCACCTGCCACAACACTCGGCTATTGTTACAAATGAGGTCTTGCTCTTGCTCAGGCTGGTCTCAAACCTGTGAGCTGAAGCAATCTACCTGCCTTGGCCTCCCAGATTGCTCAGAATACAGGCATGAGCCCCTGTGCCTGGCCTTGAAAAAGTGTTTCTCAAAATTCTAGGTTTAGGGGCTTTCTCTTAATACCTACTGAGTCAGTATGTCTGGGAATGGTGTCTGAAATTGCATTTTTATATGAGCACCCCAAGGCCTGGATTCTCCTTCAGGTAATGGCAAAGTTGCTCTTATGAGACCAGCTCTTCCCCCAAAACAACTATAAATGCTGGAAAAAATATAAACAACTATTCAAAGGCACTGGTGAGCAACCAGTAGCAAGAAGAGGTACCTTAGAAGAGGGATTGCATGGAAGATAGTAAAGGCACTGGTAGGCTTGAAGAGTTAATGGCTTATTTCCCTTTGGGTATCCCCCAGTTGTCACCAACTGGCAAAACACGACCAAAACTCAGTCTTTTTTTTTTTTTTTTGAGACAGAGAGTCACTATGTCACCCTGGGTAAAGTGCCGTGGTGTCACAGCTCATAGTAACCTCAAACTCTTGGGCTTAAGCGATTCCCTTGCCTCAGCCTCCAAAGGAGCTGGGACAACAGGCACCTACCACAACGCCTGGCTATATTTTGGTTCTAGTCCTCATTGTTACTTGGCAGGCCCAGGCTGGATTCGAACCTGCCAGTTCTGGTGCATGTGGCTGGCACCCTAGCCGCTAAGCTACAGACACCAAGCCTGATCCTTGAACTTTGGATGTGAGGGATAGACACTAAGCAGCCTAGGTAAGGCTAAAGAACTGAACAAAGATTGTAGCTATTATTCACTGCAAGGGAGTTTACCGAATGTTCACAGAAACAAACAAATGAACGCTCTTCCAAGAAGTGTTAAAGAATCTAGAGTCTCTACAGTTTATCATTTGCAATGTTCAGAGCAATCCAAAATTAATACATGAAGAAACAGGAAAACATGATCCCTACTCAAGAGAAAAGGTTTGGAGATCAACTCTAAGATGATCCCTGTAGATAACAGAATTAACAGACAAGGATTTTTCTTGTTTTAATAAAACAAGGATTTTTTTTTCTTTTTGCCATTTTTTGGCTGGGGCCAGGTTTGAACCCACCACCTCTGGTATATGGTGCCAACGCCCTACTTCTTTGAGCCACAGGCGCCGCCTGGAACAAAGATTTTTAAGTAGCTATTCATATGCTTAAAGACATAAAGAATATGCTTGAAATAATTGAATAAGTAGGAAATCTCAGTGGTGATATAGGAAACATAAAAAATGTATCAAATGGAAATCTAGAATTGAAAAATATATCTGAAATAAAAAATTCACTAGATGGGCTTAATAGCAGATTGGAAATGATAGAAGAGAGAATTAAATGGAAGATAGATCAATAAAAATGAACTAATCTGAAGAATAAAAAGATTAAGCATTGTAAGAAAACAAAAAAAAAGAAAAAAAGATTAAGCACTGCATATGATTTTTGTTTGTACATATTCATATTTCACAACTAATGATCTACAATAAATTTCTATACTGGGTAGCTTAGATGCCCTCTGAGCCACCTATCCTAAGACTTCTGCGTATAACATCCCTATAACGTTTAACTGTATTACTGTATAAACTGTGGCCACTCTCTGGCCAGGTCTATGACATACAAATGAGGAGTTTTCTGGAGCCATAGGATCACCAGGTGCCATAGGATCACCACATGAGATACCTTGATATAAGGATATTAAATAGTTGTTTAAAAAATGGAAGTCTTGCCAGGCATGGTGGCTCATGCCTGTAATCCCAGCACTGTGGAGGCTGAGGAGGGAGAATTGCTTGTGCTCAGGAGTTTGAGACTCACCTGAGCAAGAGTGAGACCCCAACTCATGATAAAAATGGAAAAACCAGCCAGGTGCTGTGGTGAGCAGTTGTAATCCCAGCAGCTTCCAGAGGCTGAGGCAGCGGGATGCCCACAGCCTGAGTCTGAGGTTGCAGTGAGCTACCACGCCACTGCACTCTGCTCAGGGGCATAGGGTGGGACTCTGTCTCAAGAAAAGAAAAAAAGGGAAGTCTTGTCTAACATAGTTTATATCATCAAGAGAACAGAGCTCTTTTCCCTTGGAATTTAATTATATATTATGTTCCCAGTACCCAGCATTTATCCCAGATTTGGAAATAGTTCGATTTAAGTCTTGTAAGCTAAGGCTGTAATTTCTTGAAGCAATAGGATTAATTTTGCTTTGTTTTTTAAAAAAATTAGAACTCATAAAATCAAATGATAAATTTTTTTTTTTT